TTTAAACCAATCAAAAATGTTACTAAAAAAAGGAATCAATTAATTACAATTCCAAAACTGTAGAACTAAATTATTCTATAAATAATTTTTACAGATGATATTATTTTGTAGTACCTAATTGATTGCTAATTTATTTATTTATTTATTTATTTATTTATTTATTTATTTATTTATTTATTTATTTATTGTAAACTGTATACATGTTCTATATGGACGGCAATTAATTATTTATTCTCAAGTATGGTTTTAAATAGTACACGACACTATAAAATTATTTTTACAATCCTCAAAATTTCTTTTAAAATTATTTTAAATACAAGGTTACTCGAGTTACAACATTACAGCTTCCTGTAAAAAACCATTTATAACAAATGACGTAGATACCTATTGCTTTAAACCACTTGTTGTACACGTTAAATTGATGGATTGATATTTTCGCTCTACTGCTATCTTCTCTTTCACTTTTTTTTGAACACACATCAATGWTTCAAACAGTCAAGCAAATTAAGACTTCTTCTTTGCTTGAACGTGTCATTTACACAAAATTAGAAAAAAATGGGTTAGTTTTAAATTTTCTATTCTCGTCAAATCGTCATTAAAAAAACCAAAATCTAAAACCATTATTTTTATAAAAATTTTATTTTAGCCCAATCAGTTAGATACATTAAATCGAAATAAAACTCGAATTCGTTTTTCTTGATTTGTATAGCATGTTTTTCCACAAAAACCACCAATTGGTTGGCCTCTTTTACTAATTACATGTACGGGAAACAAAGTATTGCTTTCGTAGAACCGAGATGCATCTTATGTGAATAATTGCTATAATTTGGGAGGTGATCCGTATACACGTTGCGTGAGATTAAAGATAATTTATTAGTTGTGTGTGGTTTTAAAGATGCATTAAATTAAAACTAAAAATATTTAAGCACGAGTTGGTATCTGGTAAAACAACAAGCAATAACTGAAGCTAAAAATGAAATTTCKTTAAAAAAAATAAAAGAGTACAAAACATATAACGCTTTTCGTGGTTTTCGACATAACAAAAAATACCATTATAGGTATATCACTGAAATCACAGGTACGCGAATTGTGACTTATTTATTAAAAACAACTATAGCGTATATTTGCGAAAAAATGACATTACTTCTACCCTACTTCCAATTCAAGTGATTGCCAAACCGTTTGACGTAGGTATAAACATAACGTATACCTGYCTAAAACATTATGTCGATGCCGTACAGAATAACGTAAGTACCACGCGATTGCACAACTTTTTGTATTGGCGTTTTAAAAAGCCTACAGCTGTACGCGAATTTCATAGTTTAAAAAGCATATTGCAAAATATTAAAACTTTAAAGTTATAATAGGTTAATAGTCACTTGACTATCAAACATATAGGTACACGTCGAATGCAAACAAACAGAAGCTGCAAGAATCAAACACAACATCCCAGAATTTCTATACCAATCATTAGGTCCAAACGTATCARCCATCAAACAGATCATAAAATAAACTGAAATCGAAAATATACTGTACACAAATAATATAAAATAATATGTAAAAACAAAACTACCTAGTATGTAAAAATTATGTAAAAACAATGTAAACAATGTCAGCCAATGG